TTTTAAAAGTATTTCATAATTACATTAATATGAAATTTTAAAGTTTAATAATGCTTTATGCCCACCAGGACTTTAGACACATATATGCACGAATAGAGTCTGCACTAAGACTGCATCTCTTAACAGAAATTAAATCAGTTCTTCCAGAAAATACTCATTCTACTGGAACGCTAATGGCAGTAATTGCAAGATAATCTCTAGCCATTTTAGCCAAATTGGGATATTTAGCTTCATGCACTTCCCATTATTGAAGAATATCTTGTTTTCTCATTGCCTAAGGAGCTTCTAGATATAACTCAACTTCATTTTGTTGATTAATTCTTTGTTTTTTTTCATAAATATAATCTAAAAGCAAATCATCATCATTATCCATATTATCTTGATTATAATTGGTAGCTTTGTAAGAAGATGATTCATAATTATTTTTATAGATTTGAAGAATAGTTGCTTTAATGCTATTAATAAAATCTTTGCTCCAATTATTTTCTTCATAATAATCCAATTTTAGTCTTAGATCAAGAACAGTTGCGATAATATAAATAGCCATATTGTTTGTTCTTGAATAATATAATTCTAACTTTATCAATCCTGCATTTATTGCAGTGATTATTTCATGAGAATAATTAGAATTATTGCAATGTTTTGTGAGTTTATCGATCAAATAATTATATATTGATATAATAGAAGCGAGCATTAGATATTTTGCTGATTCAATCATTTTGGTTGTTCGTACAAATATTTCTAAAATGGTTACAATCTCTCTAATTTTATTCTATTTATGAATATCAAGTTGTAATGATTAAAGATCCTTATCTAAATGTGTAATTGTATTGATTGCATCATGCATCACCAGTGCTCATGCAAGCATTTCATAAGTGGAGGTTCACCTAATCTTAATATCCAATATAAGATTACAATTCTCAAAACCAGCAGCTTTAACTAGATGCATAAATCATTCACAATGCTGTGGTGATAATCTAATTTTAATTACAAGTTTTCGAAGTTTCAAAATTATATTTCTAGCCATTATGGGTATGTTCATATTATCAAAGATAGCATTTTTAGTTTGTGCTTTGCCAGCCTTGAATTGTTTAAGAATATCTTGCATGGTCAGGTTTATGATATGAGCAACACATCTACAATGAGATTCAATAGTATTAAAAGCAATATTCTCATTATAACATATAGTTTCTAGATGTTGCATAAAAGTATCATTGTTCGTAGTATTATCACTTGTAATTGTAAAAATTTTTGGTAAAATTCCAAATTCACAACAGCTACTAACAAATGCATCACACAAGTTCTCTCCTGAATGAGAACCATGAAGATTAATAAAATCCAATAAAATATTTTGAAGCTTCCAGTCTTTAGAAATCCAATGCACTGTAATGGCAAAATAAAAATAAATATTTGCTGATGTCCACACATCAATAGCAAATGAAAGTTTTCCTAGAACACTTTGAAGTAAGCATTTTATATTTATGCTTTCATCTTTGAAACTTTTTATAATATCATTCCTAATCGTATCCCCTACAGGAATAGTTGCATTTGGATTTAACAGTTTTAACATTTGTCAAAAGTGTTTATTTTCAACAATTGTAAATGGCTGGTTATCTAAGACTATCCATTTATTGAGTAACTTTTTAAAAGCTAATTGTGTAAATTCAGATGATTCTTCTTTTGATCTTGGATTACTGTCTGAATAGTGGTGTTCAAGATGACGCCAAAGATTTGTTGTATTGGAATCATCATTTTTGCGTAACCATGTTTTTTTTTATCTTCAAAACAGACAAAACATACTATTTCTCGATGTGTATGTGTTTTAGGATGTTTTAGTGAAAAATCCTTTTCCTCAAATAGCCTTTCCAAAAAAAGCTTGCTACATCTTTTTCTAGAAGAAGTTGCTGGATCTTTGTTATTGTTAATACTAGATGTAATAGAGGCAAGTGGCTGTGATTTATGTTCAGTATTATACGTAAAATGTTCAAGCTTATATTGAGCAGAATTATAATTTTTGATTAAAGACATGTTATTATTGATGAAAGATACAATGGTAAATATTTTTAGAATTTACTTTAGAGCGAAGAAATAACCAATTCTCTATTTTTCTAATATGCTTAATATATTCTACATTTGACTCAAACTAATTACATCAATTACATTAATCATACGATATTTAACTACTACTAATTTTGATATATTTTTCATTGATTACCCTTTGATTAATTAATTACTCATGATTTATGTAATCACTTAGGATCATGTGTTAAATTTCAGGTTTTATGTTCTGGGATCGATTATCCAGGTTACTTGACTCCTTTCAGAGCACTAGGTATGGATGGTAATGAACAAAGTTCATCTCTTTTTGCTGGATCACGAATATGGCCATGAACTTGATTATATAAATACCATTGTTATTCTAGAGTTAAATGTTTTGCTAAATGTGGAGCTGGAAAAGTGGATAAAGGAAATAAACTAATTATATTTTTTTTTAATAATAATATTTCTGTTTTCTTCTCATTTATTGCTGATTTTATTTCTACTATTCTGGGTTTATCTGATGAAATAATAAAATGATGCTGCTTAAGAATTTTTGGAACATTCTTAAATAATTCGTCTAAAAATTCAGCCCATTTATAAAATTAAACTTGTTGAACACCATTTTGATCATAAATAGTTTGTGCTGTATTGTAACCCCTGATAGTAGAGTTTTGGATGACCTGAACTAAGTCTGCCAAGTTATTTACTTCAGAATGCCAAAGTTTTAGTTTTAGTAACTTGAAAAATCCATCAGGAGAAAATTTAGTATAACCTGCTACTATGAAAGAATATATAATTCTTTTATGTAAATTACTTAATACATGCCACATTAAATATTTTATTATTGCATTATTCTTATTTTGTCCTAGACAATTATCAGTATGGATTATAATATATTTTTCTCCAAGACCGTGTTTTCAAAATAATAGTGAACTATTGAGATAACTGCATTTGCTTCTTTTCCAACATCCTCATTTTCTTTGATTAAATAATTTTTCTAAAGTATTAGATTCTTAGTATAAAATTAAATTTTAATTGAAATTTATTAAATAAAATAATAAAATTTAAAACCTGTTGTGGGAAAGCATCTTCACATATTCCAAAAATCGAAACTTTATACAAAGACTTAAAGTAAATAGATCCCTAAAAACATAAATTAATTTAAAAAAAAGTATTGCATTTAGGCTGTTTGAAGTTAATTCTTCAGTTAACATCACTTTCTAAGACTTTTTAAAAAGGAAAAATAAAATAAACACATAAAATGCATAATATATTTTTAGAGCAGTAAAACTATTATAACGAGTTAAAATTTAGTTAAAGTTTGGTCTAGAGATTCTAACTGGGTTGCTCAAAGTTAATTAATTAGTTAATAAGTATTATTTTTAGCTTGAGCAAAAACAAGAAGAGAGTGCATATTTTGTTATGCAAAGCATATGGGCCAAAGTAAGCTTTATCTATTATATAATTAGTTTTTTTTTTATCTTGCATCTATTCATATCGTGTATGTTTTTCTTTGATTGTTACCAAATTTTCTGTTTATGGGCCTAGCTTTGTTGTAATCAATTTTTTAAATCTACTATTTTTCAATTCTTTATTCCATACATGTGCTATTGATATATGTAAACATATTCTTTTCGTGTTATCCTTTCTTTTGTGCTATTTTTTGATTATTATTCCTACCTGTGATGATGAAGGTCATATAGTAGCTCTTTTGTTTAATTACATAATTATATTCACAAAAAATTATATACGAAGTAACAAACCAAATTTATGTGCTATTTTTTTTTCATGTGTTCATTTTACTAAAAGGTCGTTGAATAAGAGAGAAGTGATGTTAACCAAAAAAATCAACTTTGAATAGTCTTAGAGAGATTGCATTTACTCTTAAATTGCAATCTACCACTTAATAATAATATTGTAATATAGTTGACTTTCTGTAAATGCACTTGTTAGTACACTTATAGAGAGGATTAACTAGAGATGTACCATTTATATGATAATCAAATTTTTTTTTGCGTACAGTATGTATAGTACGTATAGTGCATGCTTAGCAATTTGATTGGTTAGTAGAAAGGAACAGCAAAAATTTTCACATACAACGTATATATAGTACTGTATGTGGCACATCTCTAGGATTAACATATTTGCTAATAAATACTTCTTGCTATGAAGAAAATGGCAGATGCACAGCTTCTGCAAAATCCTATGAAAGATGATTTTCAAATTCTAAGGAATTCGGTATTCTTGAACGCAAAAGTTTAAATAAACTTTTTAATTGTAATTTGGTATTTAAAATGTATTTTCTAAAATTTTAATTTATATAAAATAATTATTGATAAAAAAATGAATCAAATTATTAATTTTCACATTTATAATATTCTTTTTCTTGATTCGCCTAATTAATATGACTACTCCATTCTTGAATCTTATAATCTCACTCATTTTCTGTCCAATATTGAGTATTAAATCACATATTTTTACAAAGCATGCATAGATCACTTCGAGGAGATAAAAAACAAATTTCTGGTACATATTTTTTCCAAATCTGCATAAAAGACTATCAGCTAATATAGTGATTAGAGTTTTCATCTAAATTCAATTGATAAATACAATGTAATCCAGAATAACTTTCACTAGCAAGAAGAAATGTAATAGCCATAGTGTCCTCTCGAAAATACCGACCTAATAAAATAATTATTATTAATAAATAAATGCATTGAATTCATTCTTTAAACTTCAATTCTATTTTTATAGCAGTTTTCAATTATATATATCTTTCTTCAATTCATTTCAGCGAATGATTAATAATACAGTAAGTGAATGTCTTATATTCAAATTTTTTTTTTTTTAACTTTGTTAACTCTGTTAATATGTAATAAAACTATCCTGAGCTGTTAGATATTAGTAGAAATGAAGTTTCCGCTTGTATACATATTTTACTAAATACTTCATGATCTTGATATAGTAATCAAGCTATTTTATTGCTATTTTCAAAATTTGATCAATTCATGATAAAAAAAGCTTCTTTGTGAATCCCGTGAGTCCCATGATTCCAATATAGATAATTACCTAAATTCATTATCATATCGTCATGAAATAATGCATAGGAGTTATTTCGAGACAAAAATTTTAAAACAAGTTAATAATTAACTTTGCCAAAGATTTTTTTTAACTTTAATATTTATCTAATAATAAAGTTTAAAAAAAATCTTTAGCAAAATTAATTATTAACCGGTTTAAAATTTTTTGTCTCAAAATAACACTCTGGGGCATTATTTCACGATGATATGGTATATTTTTGCAGAACTCATTTATAAGTGCTTTTTTAATATTTTTATTAGTTAATATTTGTCTTTTAAGTTTTTTTTATTGGTATAAATTTGTGAGTCATGGAACTGGATCTTAAAAGAAATATATAAATAACTACAAGAACTAGTAAGAGCCAGAACGATTTTAAAAATGTATTTATTAATAAATTTAGGATGATTACCTATATTGTAATTATGGGACTTATGGAATTCACAAAAAAAATTTTATTACGAATCAGATAAATGATAACGATAATTAAAATTATAATAAAAAAAATAATTTTACCTGGTGATGGCAATCCATGATAGTTTGCATAATTTACAATAAATGTAAGAACATTTAAAATAGTTGTGAATGATAAAGCATTATGAGATTTTCTTCCTAAAAGTGCATGCTTCATAGGTTTAATACTATTTATGTGATACTATTGATGAATATTTTCTCATTTTTTAATTGATAGTGGATGTATAATTTGAAATGCTTTCTCACAAATTTCATTTTTATTAAAAGTGTATTTTATAGTTAAGTTTTGTTTTTCTTTACCATGTAATGTTTTATTTGAACGAATCATTGCATGAAGTGTCTCTAATAAAAATATATTATACTTAGCTTTTGTTAATCCTTGAATGTTATCAAAAATTATAAATACAAGTTCATAGTTAATTTTGGTTAAATATGATTTGGTTTTACAACAGACCATTGTACAAAGTTTATTATTAAATGCTTCTTTTTCTTGCTGATCTAAAATAACCATTAATTTTTTATTAATTTCTCCTTCATCATTATTCTCCTTAATAGTATTTTGAGAAAATATTGTTTGAAATTTTTTTATTTGTAATGGAGTAAGAACTTGATTATCGGAATATTGCATTTCTTTATCATTTTATATATGATATGTGCTTTCAGCAAAAAGTTCATTTGTTTCTAGTATTTTTTTCATTTCGATTTCATAATCTTTTTTGGATTGGTAAAGGGCTTTAAGTTGGTCAAAATCTTTTGTCAACGAACTAATTTCAGAATGTGTTTCTAAAAAAATTGACAAAACCAATGTATGTGTTAATTCCATTTTTTTTTTATAAAACTTTAAGTGCTATCATTATCGTTATGCTGTATATACTTAAAATTATAAAAAGACCTTATAAAACTAATCAAGAATTATGCTTTCTTAGTTAAGATGAGCATAAAAGTTCCATAAAAGAAATCATTATACTGCATAGTGTTCTGCAAGTGCGGTACAGTTACTAGATATGAATGATACAAATTTTTTTTTATTGCATTGGACCTAATATTGCTTACTGGATAACATCGTACAATACATTAATATGGTATAAGTAACCAAATCTGTATAGCACAGGCCCTGTATTATATGGATCTGGTCACCCATACCTTACTAATCTGCTGTAATTTTCATGGTACAGGTTTGAAATCTTGGCCTTAACTCGTACAATAGATAATATTAACTACTTTAAACTTGATACCTAACCATTTGAACATGTTGTAAACTTGAATTGCTTGATTTTGTTTAAAGTCAATTTCCACATCGACCACATACAGTATTCCAATTATTGACCAGATCTATAACCTTAAAAATGCCAATCTGGTTATTGTTGTGTACATAAGCACCTAAAATGTTGTGTTTGTAGTTTTTTTCTTAATTAAATTACCAGTTAACACGTGATATCAAAAAGAAATACCATATTTAATTTAGAATTTTAAAACCTAGCTATGAACTAGAAGAAAAAAAAATAGTAAGAATAATATAGAAAATACCAAAATGAGTATAAAGATAATACTTAGCTATCAAATCAAATTTGGATTCGTGACTATATAGCTAGATTAGAGAAGAAAACTCTACAGTAATACTTCGAACAAAACTTATTTGAACAGTCTTATGAAATACTGTATATGTTAATTTTTGATAGCACATATAATTAATAGCGCATGCGAATCTAATTCTCAGTTATTAAGTAAAAGAGAACAGTATACTAGTATAAACTCGGGCAGACTTATAAAACATATTACTTTTTGATATAAAATTTTTCTAAGTATATCATCAATTAAAGTTAGAATTGTGGTGATTACTAAAATAGTTTTGGATATATAGATGATGCTACTTTACTATATACCCTGAAAGTATATAAATTTTTCTGTTACAACATACAAATAAATAAGACAGATCACTATGATTTTTGCTACGCAAATAAATCTTGTATACATTTAAGAAATACAGACTAATTAGTCAAAAATAGTACCATAAATGACCATATAAAAAGATTCTCTCAAATAGTAGACACATCAAATACTAGATCCGAGTGTAGGTCTCAGAATCTTATTGATTAAAATGGAATTCTTTTCAAACATTTAGATTGTACGTTATAAATGCGAAGTATGTAAGCATTCAAATTTTTACTTTCTATGATATATACTCAGCCATGTACTATACTCGGGTCTATTATAGGTTTTAAAAATTGGTCTTATATGGTTATTTACGATATAATTATTGATGATGCTAAAATTAATGAATATGATTGGTTAATATTAGGATCATCCAAATTTCACGTGACACGGTAAATTCCGAAAATTTTATTCGATCTACATCGGAATGTTGCACAAATTTTTATCCGATCAAAAAGCTTTTTTACACTATTTTATTTATATCGCAAAATTTTATTATGACAATAATATTTCTTTAATAAGACAAATTGATTTCTAAAGTAATTTTGACTTAGTTATGCTTAAAAAAAATTTTTTAGGACCTGCGGGTCAGTAGTGCAGTGGTTAGCACTCCCAGGTCGCATTCGCAAGGTTGCCAGTTCAATTCCAACTGGG